TTTTAGAACTAAACTATCCCGGTTAAATTTATAAAAAGGTGAAAGATATTATCGGGCATACTGAAACTCTTTAATTACTCTTAGAGGGGAAACTCTAATCTCCAGTCAATGATTAACCAAAGAAATCTATCCAGACCCCCAACTCTGTGTCCATTCATTTACCTGTTCTAATGAATTACCAAACCTCATTCAAACCAGGCACAGAAAAACGGAGGGAAATAAGACGGGAAAAGGAGTGTGAAGGAAGCAAAGGTAAATGGAAAGTCATTATGATACACATTTGGCCTAATGAGATTTTTTATGGTGATGCCAAAGGTGGCGGGTGAGGGGTGAGGGATGGCCGCACGCAAACGTCTTCCTAATTATTCACAATGAACGAATATGCCAGCGGAAAGGTGCGGGGAGATCGAGAGCATTTTGACACCTTTATGGCTCAATAAATTGGACCAAAGGCAAAGGAACCCAGAACACGCCAGTTCATTAGAAACTCACACGGGGGATTTTGATATCGCCACTGATTACGTTTAAGATGTCGAGGCCACTCGTAGCTCATTCCCATGTCACTGCGCACAAGGAAAAAATATGTCTCCCTTCTGGTCATCAGTTTGGAATTTCCTAATGCCAAATATGGTTCTTGGCAATAATATTCACATTACCTATAATTCAATCTTATATTCGAAATCACTTAAAAGTTGACAGCTATAAATGCAAACGTGCAACACCTCATAAGCTATAAATGATGTGATTCTTACATTAAAATATTAATATACTCATTTTAAATTCTCATATCTAATCTTGCTTTTTCAGAAACCTTAAAGTTATGGCTTAGTTTTTCTATTTCTTGATAATAAACATTAACATTAAAATGTTAGTGGATCATTCTTATGTAAATATTCGCATTTTTACTGCATTATATATATTTAAAGGTGTTTTATGGACGAATTTCCTTTTTCTGTGTGTATGCAAACTGGAAATGTGGGCACGTAAAGTTTACAGTTACCCAGGCATTGGACTCGTTAGTGCTCGTATATAGTGTGTGTTATAGTAAAAGCAACGACCAGCCGAAGGACCTCATGCCGTTTGTGGGGGGAGGGGGGTTCGGGGACACTTGGACCCACCGATGCCGATGTCGACGTCGTCGACTGCTTATGAATAATGTTTTCATTTTCAGCCCGGCGAATTTGCCAACGTTTCCTTGTCCCGCGCCTTCGTCCTCGGCACGCAATTGCATGTTAAGTGCATATGATTCCCGGACTGGTTCCACTTGGCAGAAACCCTCGGCCCTCAGTGAGCCACGACTAATATGCGAAAATTATGGGTTGTAATGTAAGAGGCACTTTTGCTTCATCTTTTTAATGACATCCAACAAACGCTACATGTTTTCCTTCACTTGAGAGAGCTGGATTGGCGGTGGTCCTGGGTTCAAAATGATTAGCGCCGCGGGCCCAAGACAAACATTAAAAACTGTCATCATTTATATTAATTAATGGCGTCTGCACTTTAGTTGCAAGAAGTAAAACTTTCGAAATTACTTTAGAAACTTTACGCTAATAGGGACTAGGCTAACAAGTTTTACAAATTGCAAAAACACTTTAAAACGAATTAAATAGTTTGTTTTATTTTGTTGTCTCCAAATTACATTTTCTTTAATTCATATTTTTTATTTCCATAATTAAGTATATTGAAAAATAAATAAAATTGCTAGCTATTTATAGATTCACATTATTTTTTATCATTGAACAAATATATTTATATAAGTTTTAGTGATTGTTGACAAAACATTACATTAAATAACGATAACACAGAATTGACCTTTTCAACAATTTTTAATAATAATACCATTTCATGTTTAATATATTTAAAAAGCTAAACAAATATTGTATTTGTCTTAGACTTATGTTTATTTTTAGTGATTAAATACATTTTTTTTTATTAGTATCAAGAGGAGTTTTTTTTTTTTTTTTTTTTTTATGAAAGTAAAAAATTGTATATTTATTGCAAAGCTTAACAGGTATACTGCTACCTATGTGGCAGCTTGAGCAGGTTGTAAATTACAGGGGAATAACAAAATTTAGGTATACAAGATTATACATAAATTCTATATATTTACATTTTAATTTTTAAGCTTCAAACGGTTATATAGATCTTAAAGGAAGGTCATGTGGGTGATATTTTTTCAGTCTTCTTTTTCTAGGTCTCCATATAAGCCTCTTCGCTAGGGAGTTAGGATGAGAACCAAGTCGTGTATAGTACTTTTCTGCGTGCGTACGTATTACATCGCCTATCTTTGGGATAAGAGGAGTTTGTAAATGTTAAGCTAATAAATTTCAAGTGCATTTCCCAGATCAGCTATGGAGCATTCATCTGTTTTCTGTACAATACAATGCTTAATCAACTCTGGTGTCCGTTCGTATTAGACTTCCATCAAATGGAAAGTGCACTTTCCTATGACATGCAAAGCCCCAAAGTATGCAACAGTTTCCGGCTGAGTGCGGCATTGGATTTTCATACAATCAGAAACCATTTTGAACGCATCCGCTTCCGTTTTTGCATGGCGGTTTGCATTTCTGAGTTAAAAGCGTGAGCTTTTTTTGCAATTTGATTTGTCGCCTAAATTCACAACATTTTTGACACCCGTCGTTCGCGAAATTCCGCGGCAGTTGTAGTTTTTGTTGCAGCATGGCATTTGACAGGATGACAAATGCAAAACTATAAAAATTCATTCGTTTTTCAGCCATAACAAATTTAAATTAAGAAGAGCATAAGCCTTGTATCGAATGCATTTTAAAGTGCATTCTGAAAGAGGAACTTGCATTTTGGATGGTATGCAGCCAGTAACCTAGCCCCGCTAACAAAACTCTCGAGACATTCGACGGCATCAGCCGCAGATGATGACCTGAGGGCCTTCTTCCGCTGTTTAATATGCACTTGAGAACGTCGAAGTTTCAGTTTCAACTGCAGCTGCACTTGTAAAAATCGTTGATAAGTAGAGGTTTAAAAAAAAAATAATCATGTAGGAAAAAATTCAATTATATAAAGGCAAAAGATTTTTGTTTAGCGCTGTTGAAAAGACAATACATAAATTAAAACTAAAAGAGGAAAAAACCACATTATGAAATCATTTGAAAAGGAGAACGGTTTAATGTGTATATCAATAAAATATATATTGGCCATTTTAAAGTAATCTTTTTTCTCAATGTAGCTATGTGAGGCTCATACCTAGACCTCCTTCCTTCGCTCACGTTTCCGAGCCTTTCACTAAAAATAAGTGTTGAGCAAACATTCTACGGGCTTGGAAGTTCGCCTCTGCCACATCAGCATCATCTCCACCATCTTTGTCCTCTCGAAACAGGGCCATGTTTGTCAAGCCATGAGCTGCGGAATCTCACTGCAAACAAGAATGCAGTGCAAGATGTTTAACACTTTGCCCAGATCCTTGCCCAGGGGTAGGTCATGGGGTTGCCAAGATGGGTAAGATAAGGAAAACGGACTGCCAAGAATAACATACATAAAATAACGAACTATTTACCACTTTTGTTTAAATACGATAAGGGGTAATTTTTAAGAAATATTTTTGCCAATCCCTACATGGCCATGTAGGGAGTAAAATAGTTATTTGGTAACCTTTAAATTCAAGTGTATAATCAATTATAAAACACTTAGTAAATTAATTGATTGCTGATTAAATAATTTGGTTGTCAACCCTTTACTTAAGGTATCACAGACAGACATCAGTTCATTAGGTCAAGCGAATTGGACGGCAGTACACGTAGTGACGATGCGCACCGTGAGCAGCTGAATTAAAAATACCGATCGGAAGGTATTACGTTGGCTAAGGAAAGTGCATACCAACACTTTAGGTATATCAATTGGTTTAGGAGAAATAGTAGAAAAATTGTTAGAGTGAAAAGTTTAAAATTTGTATTTTAAACGTATTTTCAAATGTATTTATACCCGTTACTCGTAGAGTAAAAGGGTATATTGTATTCGTGCAAAAGTATGTAACAGCTAGAAGGAAGCGTTTCCGACCCTATAAAGTATATATATTCTTGATCAGGGTCACTAGCCGAGTCGATATAGCCATGTCCGTCTGTCCGTCTGTCTGTCCGTCTGTCTGTCCGTCTGTCTGTCCGTCCGTATGAACGCTGAGATCTCGGAAACTATAAAAGCTAGAAGATTGGCATTTTGCATGTAGATTTTAGGAGTTCCTACGCAGCGCAAGTTTGTTTCAAAAAGGTCCCACGCCCCCTTTAACGCCCACAATCGCTTATATACGATTTTAAAAATTTAAATATTTCGGAAAAGTAAAAATGCAGTTTTATTGTGTTTATCAATACCTATCGAAATGTAGAAGAAATTTTTCAAATCGGACCATTCGTTAAAAAGTTATGCGTGATCAAAGTTTCTATCTCCATCTCCCTCGCACTCCCTTTACCTGAGTAACGGGTATCTGATAGTCGGGGCACCCGACTATAGCGTTCTCTCTTGTTTTAAACTTATTTCTTTGCCCTAACATATATGTATGTATAATAGCCAAATTTATGTTTTTGCTCTGTTAGCAATGTGGTTAACAACACCAACTGAGATTTCGCTCTAGTCTGGAGCTTTAATGCCTTTTAAGATTTCCCAACTTTTAATATAAACCACATTTTTATGGGAAAACTTATTCCAGATCTGTATAATTATAATAACATGGCATGTTATGTTTATTTTAATGCGCAGAAAAGTATGCTAAGCCAATTTGATTATGAAAAATTCCTATTAGAGCTTTTTTAAGAAAAAGGAAAACAAGTTTATAATCTACAAAAATATTCTAAGGAAAGCTTCTAAAAGTGAATTTATTTAGTCAAATAATTAATCATTTTTCGTCACAAAATTTGATATCAAAAATAGTTTAAGTTAAAGGAGCGATCGTCACGACATTTATACTTCGTTAGGAGCTATTTTTGTTTGATAATACAATGAAGACCATTCCTGACCACTCAACTTAGTGTTCCACGATGGCTGACTTGGTCAAATGGTGTCTGTACATTGTGTATTATTACGGACGATTTACCGGCCTGGTGAACTTTGAGATCGATTTGAAAACGGGAAGGACACGTGTCACCAAATGGGCCACCATTTATGCAGCCTTTGTCCAAATTATTTTATTCACCATACTGTTTTATCACACATTAGGAATTCGATTTATTACCAGTATGTGGGTAAAGGCCAACTTGCTACACGAGTACGTGTTTATGATAATGTCCGTGCTTCGGATCCTTTGTGTACTGATGGCTCTGATTAGTCGCTGGTTTATGCGTCGACGATTTGTGCGATTGTTTAACTCATTCCGCCGCCTATTTCAAAGTAATCCGGAGGCGATTCAATACTGTCGAATGGGAATCGCTGCCAAGTGTCTCTGCAGCAAGGCTACGGAAATCCTGCAGGTCACAATTGCTTTGGTAATTGTGAAAAAATATTTAACTATTCACCTAGTGCTTGGCATCTGGTCGGTGGTATCTTTGACGGCCATTATTAATTTGATCATTACCCAGTATTACATTGCAATTGCAAATATACGTGGGAGCTACATGCTCCTAAATAAGGAGCTGCGATTGATTTTGTCCGAAACGCAATCCCTGATTCCCAACCGACGCGGAGTCTTTGTGACCAAATGTTGCCATTTGGCCGACCGTTTGGATATTATAGCTCGAACACAATCTGAGTTACAAGATCTCACAGATCGCCTATCGAAAACCTACGAGGTACAGATTTTCTGGATGGCCATTTCCTACTACCTAAACTCAGTTGGAAGCATCTACATCATGTTCAGCTTCGGCAAGTATAAAAACATGGTCGAAGATTGGCCTCTGTCGGTTGTCGTGTTGGGAGTAGCGTATTTTTTATTTTTCTATTTCGATAACTGGATAAATATGTACGGAGTTTTCGAACTTTCGGACTTACACGCCGAAATGTTAATTCTCATGGAGCAGCGAACTGTCCTTTTGCCATGCTTAGACAATCGTTTGGAGGCAGCAGTAAGTTGTTTCATCTTAACAAAGTGATTTACTTTCTGATATTCCCTAATTTATTCGCAGTTCGACAGCTTCGGGCTTAGCCTGGCCCGCAATCCTTTCAAGCTTCGATTTTTTGGAGTATTTGAAGCCAATCGAAGCACGTTACTGCCATGGGCTAACTCTTTGATAATCAACTCATTATTTCTCATTCAATATGACATGCAGAATTTCTAAACAAATTACTCATTAAATTAAATATCTCTAGATTTAAATAAAATAGGTCTTAATAGAAAACAATCATTTTTGTAAACGTATATTTACTTATAGAAATCAAGAGAAAACGACTAAAACTAAATTATAAAAACTACATTATAAAACAATCATTTTTTAAACATCAAGCAACTACAAAATTAAGAGCCTATTTATTTTACAAGCCCAATCGCAGCCCTGTCTCACTTTATTTTAATTACATATAATGATACCGCACTTTCGCAACAGGAAACGAAAGCCTTTCCAGGAAAAATATAGCTTTGCTAGTAATTAGACTTACTGATCCGATAAAAAAATGTGATATTATGGACAGCACTTATCACTCTCAAATATCAGGACATTGCAGACAACTTATTTAGAAATCCATATTCACGTACTGTCGCTCCAGTTTAGTATTTCGCCATGGTCGACTTAGTCAAATGGTGTCTGGTCATTTCATATTATTACGGACGATTCACCGGCGTGTTGAACTTTGAAATCGATTTCAAAACGGGTAGAGCACGAGTCACCAAAAGGGCTACAATATGTTCAGCCCTTGCCCACATGATAATGTGCCTTCTTTTGGGTGTTCAGATGACAAATGTACGAGTAATGGCCAAGCTGTGGTCCCAGGCAAACTCTCTTCATAATAATATGTTTTGGGTTATGTCCTGCGTTCGTATGACTGGTGTTTTTCTGTCGCTGGTTAATCGTTGGTCGCAACGTCGCACATTCATAAGCCTGTATAACTCGATCTACTCCCTTTACCAACACGACCCGAAGATAATCCAGTATTGTCGTAGAAGCATCGTGAGCAAGTGCTTCTGCGCCACAGTTTACGAGACTCTCCAGATTATCATAGTTCTAATTGTGACATCAAATCAACTAACTATTTCATTGGCATTTGGCATTTGGTCCATTTTAAGTTTGACGTCTATAATCAATGTGATTATAACCCAGTATTTTACAGCCATGGCATTAATTAGGGGACGCTACAGACTTTTAAATAAGGAGCTCCGATCGATTTTAGCCGAGACTCAATCATTGATACCCAACAAAAGTGGAGTTTTTGTAACCAAATGTTGCTATTTGGCAGACGAGTTGGAAAACATTTCCAAAGCCCAATCAAGTTTACAAGCTCTCATTGAACGTTTATCAAAGGCTTACCAACTTCAAATTATTTGCATGTTTATCACCTACTATCTAAACTTTGTAGCGAACATTTACTTACTATTCAGTATCAGCAAATACAGCTCGATAATGGAGAATTGGCCAATCGTTGTCAAAGTTGGTGGCCTGGTTTTCTTAGTATTTTACTACCTCGATTGCTGGCTTAACTCGTACAATGTTTTGTACCTAATTGACGCCCACGGTGACATGATCAAATTGCTAAGTCAACGGACTCTTTTTCAGCCAGGTTTGGATGAAAGATTGGAGACAGTTGTAAGTATTTGAGGCTTCTAAAAACTAAAAACCGCATTTTTAATTACTCCATTATCCATTTGCAGTTTGAGACCTTCAATCTGAACCTGGCCCGAAACCCATTTAAGATCCGTTTCTTTGGCTTATTCGATATCAATCGTTCAACATCATTTGCTTTGGGCAACTCAATATTAACACACTCAATTGTATTGATTCAATATGATGTACAAAATTTTTAAAATGCGGTTAAACAAATATCGAAAGAAAAAAAGATTTTGTTATTAAAATAGTCTTAATTTAATTATTAAAAAAGTAAATTATCCCAAAACTACTGTGAAATTTTAAATAATAATTTGTATTAAAAAAAAACTAAAAAGCACTCCAGCTTATAATTCATAACGTTAACAGACCCTATCAAAAGCCTGTTGTATGCCAAGGAAGGCACCCACTACTCGTTATTTTTCAGGGCTTCTAATACAAAGTTAACTACTCGTTGTAGTTGCAAAGGAGTACCGTGCTGTAGTCGGAAATCAAATTGGAATTTACGGATCGCTCTAGTTACATTCTCGAAAGTGAGTAGTCTGTTTATAATCAGCCCTTCCATAATTTTCCCCAGAGATGGGAGTAGACTGATGGTCTTCCAGGCTTGAGTATCTTAATTATACTCGCCGATTTACAGGCTTTCGGAAAGTATCCATTAATTAATATACTGTTGTATATCAACACAAGGAACTGCAAGGCTTGATCCGGTAGAAGACGGATGGCTCTGTTGTCAAGAAGGTCTTCCCCAGGAGTTTTCTTTGGTGACATTTTAGATACTAGGACTTTTTTTCTGCCAATTTTACAGGGCTAACAGGCACGCTCATTTGAAATGGAAATTCCAAGTACTTATCAACTTGTCGACATAGACTTTCCGTCGCATAATCATAAGGCCTAAAACGTAGCTTTAGGTTGTTAGCGAACACGCCAGTTTTCTCTAGGCTCGGTCGAAGAAGCTAGTGCATTTGCGCCAAAATATCCCAGACTCCTCAGGATGTCATAGTTCTAGTTCTTGTACTAAAATTTAAATCTGTTTATAAGGCATTCGGCGATTGGTCCATATTGAGCTTGACAGCTAAAGCAATCTTATTCATAACGCTGTATTTATAAAGCCATGGCAATAAGAGGATAATATTTTATCTTAATAAGAAGCTCCGATCGATCTTAGACTAAACTGAAATCCTTTTTTTCTAACTAAATAGTCCACATTTGTGACCGAATGGCTATCTAGCAGATGAGTTGGAAGAAATTGTACGAACACATTAAAATTTACATGCGGTTATTGAGTATTTATCAATGACTTACCATTATTAAGTTATTAATCATATTAATTTAGCGTCTAGCTTGAAATCCCTGCCGAAGACATCAAGAGAAAACGACGCATTCGGCAACAATGACAATTATAATACAATTATTTAAACGGTAAAACTAAAACCAACTAATAAATTAAGTGCTAATTTATTTTACAAGCTTTAGTCTCACTTTATTTTAATCATATATAATCATACCCCACTGATAGCTGTAAGCAACTCCATTGTATTAGTTTTATTACTCTTCAGTAAAACTGGGCAATCGGAAACGTAACCCTTCCAGGAAAAACGTCAGAAATGTAGCTTTGCTAGTAATTAGATTTACTGATTCGATAAGAAAATGTGATATTATGGACAACACAAACTTATCACTTCCAAATATCAGGACATTGGAGACAACTTATTTGGATATCCATATTAGACCTTTCGCTTGCTTTCGCTCCAGTTCAGTATTTCGCCATGTTCGACTTAGTGAAATGGTGTCTGGTCATTTCATATTATTACGGACGATTCACCGGCGTGTTGAACTTTGAAATCGATTTCAAAACGGGTAGAGCGCGGGTCACCAAAAAAGCTACAATATGTTCAGCCTTTGCCCACCTAATAATGTTAATTCTTATGGGAGTTCAGATGGCAAATGTGCGTATAATGGCCAGGCTGTGGAACAAGGCAAACTCACTTCATAGCAATATGTTTTGGGTTATGTCCTGCGTTCGTATGACTGGTGTTTTTCTGTCGCTGGTTAATCGTTGGTCGCAACGTCGCACATTCATAAGCCTGTATAACTCGATCTACTCTCTTTACCAACACGACCCGAAGATAATCCAGTATTGTCGTAGAAGCATCGTCAGCAAGTGCTTCTGCGCCACAATTTACGAGACTCTTCAGATTATCATAGTTCTAGTTCTAACATCAAAGCAACTAACTATTTCCTTGGCATTTAGCATTTGGTTTATAATGAGCTTAACGTCTATAATCAATGTGATTATCACCCAGTATTTTACAGCCATAGCATTAATTAGGGGACGCTACAGACTTTTGAATAAGGAGCTCCGATCGATTTTGGGCGAGACTCAATCATTGATGCCCAACAAAAGTGGAGTCTTTGTAACCAAATGTTGCTATTTGGCAGACGAGTTGGAAAACATTTCCAGGGCCCAATCAAGTTTACAAGCCCTTACTGAACGTTTATCAAAAGCTTATCGCCTTCAAGTCATTTGCATGTCTATCACCTACTATCTAAACTTGGTGGGGAACGTTTACTTACTGTTCAGTATCAACAAATACACCTCGATAACAGAGAATTGGCCAAACATAGTTAAAGTTATTGGCCTGGTTTTCTTAGTATTCTACTACCTCGATTGCTGGCTTAACTCGTTAAATGTGTTTTACCTAATTGACGCCCACGGTAACATGGCCAAATTGCTAAGTTATCGGACTCATTTTCAGCCAGGTTTGGATGAAAGATTGGAGACTGTTGTGAGTATTCAAGCCTGCCAAAAGCTAAAGACGTTCTTTTAATTTTTTCCATCCATTTGCAGTTCGAGAACTTCAACCTGAACCTGGCCCGAAACCCATTTAAGCTCAGTTTCTATGGCTTATTCGAAATCAATCGTTCATCTTCATTCGCTGTGGGCAACTCAATATTAACACACTCAATTGTTTTGATTCAATATGATTTACAACATTTTTAAAATGTCGATAAACAAATATAGAAAGGAAATTATGGTTTCGTTATTTATTTTGACTTAATTCTATTATTAAAGATGCAAATTATCCCACAACGGCTGTGATAAGAAAAAAGAAAAATTAAAAAAAAAACGAGGACGGAAGCTAACTTCGGCAAGCCGAAGTTTTAATACCCTTGCAGACTTTGACGAAATTGCTAAAAGTGAAAAAATAGCGAAAGGAATAAGGTATACATAAGTAAACTAGATTTGCATCGTTTCAAGTCAATTGCTTTTATACTGCAAAAATGTCTTATACAAATAGAAAACAAGAAAGGAAAGCTAACTTCGGGCGGAGCCGAAGTTGAAAAACCCTTGCAGAATATTCTGCAAATTATATTCTCCAAAATTATTCATATGATGCATTTTTAATACTCATAAAAAATCCCACCTTCCTAACTTTAAAAACACCAAAGTTATTTCATTTCCGATCAATCAGTTATATGGCAGCTATAGGATATAGTCGGCCGATCCTTATGAAATTTAATATGTCGAATTGATTGGGCAAAAATAAAACCCATAGAAAATCCCAACTTCCTAACTTTACAAATACCAAAGTTATGGCATTTCCGATCAATCAGTTATATGGCAGCTATAAGATATAGTCGGCCGATCCTTATGAAATTTGGTAGGTCGGATTGATTGGCCAAATATAAAACCCATAGAAAATTCCAACTTTCTAACTTTACAAACACCAAAGTTATGGCATTTCCGATCAATCAGTTATATGGCAGCTATAAGATATAGTCGGCCGATCCTTATGAAATTTGGTAGGTCGGATTGATTGGCCAAATATAAAACCCATAGAAAATTCCAACTTTCTAACTTTACAAACACCAAAGTTATGGCATTTCCGATCAATCAGTTATATGGCAGCTATAAGATATAGTCGGCCGATCCTTATGAAATTTGGTACGTCGGATTGATTGGCCAAATATAGAACCCACAGAAAGTCCCAACTTCCTAACTTAACAAACAGCAGAGTTATGGCATTTCCGATCAATCAGTTATATGGCAGCTATAGGATATAGTCGGCCGATCCCGGCTGTTCCGACTTATATACTGCGTGCAAAGGAAAGAAGGGTGTGTGCAAAGTTTCAACTCGATAGCTTTAAAACTGAGAGACTAGTTTGCGTAGAAACAGACAGACGGACAGACGGACAGACGGACATGGCTATATCAACTCAGGAGGTGATCCTGATCAAGAATATATATACTTTATAGGGTCGGAGATGTCTCCTTCACTGCGTTGCACACTTTTGACCAAAATTATAATACCCTCTGCAAGGGTATAAAAAGGGATACTTTCGAAGCCTTTAACAATTTTTCCTATCTCCTTTAAGATATAGACTTCCGAGCGGCAAGCGCTTTTACCCTAATCAAGATATGCGTAAATAAATATGAATTGGAAAATTTTATGTTAGTAGCTTACACACTGCGCGAAATATTCTGATAATCATCAAATTTGGACCGATTTCACCCTATTGTTCCTATGGGAGCTATAGGATATAGACGTCCGATCGGCACGCGCTTTCACCTTGATCAATGTATGCATAAAAAAATAGGATTTGGAAAGATTCATATCAATAGCTTGTATACTGCGTGAAATATCCTAAAAATCATTAAATTTTAACCGATTTTACCCTTTTGTTCCTATGGGAGCTATAGGATATAGACGTCCGATCGTCACGCGCTTTTACTCTGATCAAGGTACGCATAAAAAAATAAGATTTGGAAAGATTTATGTCAATAGCTTTTACACTGCGCGAAATATCTTCCATTCTTGCAAGTTATATCCGATTGTTCCTATGGGAGCTATAGGATATAGACATCCGATCAAGGCGGTTTTCAAACTTGATCTGCGTACACATGTTTTAGGACGACTGTGAATGTTTCAGATCGCTAGCTTTTAAACTGTGCTCGTAAACGGTATTAAAACAGACGGACAGACGGACATGGCTACATCGACTCCCCTATTGATTCTGATCAAGAATATATATACTTTATAGGGTCGGAAACGTCTCCTTCACTGCGTTACAAACTTCTGACCAAAATTATATTACCCTCTGCAAGGGTTTAAAAAGGGAAAACGCTTTAGTGGAATGCCACGGCTATAAGATACCCTTCATTTTAGACAGCGCCATCTGCCAAACTTAAGTGCAAGCACCTCTCACAGTTTTCGAGCTCTCCGTTTTCAAATATGCAGCATTGACATCATAATTAACACTTAAAAAATTCTATAACCTGAAAAGTAATGGAAAGAATTATATAAAATGTTTTCCCCATCGCTTTGAGGTTGCCCGAAACAAAAAAGTGGTGGGCTTTTTGGGCGTTTTTTATACCCTTGCAGAGGGTAATATAATTTTGGTCAGAAGTTTGTAACGCAGTGAAGGAGACGTTTCCGACCCTATAAAGTATATATATTCTTGATCAGAATCAATAGGGGAGTCGATGTAGCCATGTCCGTCTGTCCGTCTGTTTTAATACCGTTTACGAGCACAGTTTAAAAGCTAGCGATCTGAAACATTCACAGTCGTCCTAAAACATGTGTACGCAGATCAAGTTTGAAAACCGCCTTGATCGGATGTCTATATCCTATAGCTCCCATAGGAACAATCGGATATAACTTGCAAGAATGGAAGATATTTTGCGCAGTGTAAAAGCTATTGACATGAATATTTTCAAATCTTATTTTTTATGCATACCTTGATCAGGGTAAAAGCGCGTGCCGATCGGATGTCTATATCCTATAGCTCCGATAAGAAAAATAGGGTGAAATCGGTTAAAATCTTATGATTTTCAGGATATTTCGCACAGTGTGTAAACTATTGACATACATTTTTCCAAGTCTTATTTATTTATGCATAAATATATCAGGGTAAAAGCGCTTGCCGATCGGCCGAACTTAGCTTCCGTCCTCGTTTTTAATAATAACTAATAACAAATTTAATGTTTGTATTCCTTTTCCATTTTTTGATGCAACGAAAAATAAGCAACACTTATTCAAAGAAAGTCTTTCTCTAAGCTTATAGCAATAAAAAATCTGTGTTTATGAAAAATGTTTTTTAAATAACTATTTATCGAGTATAGAACCAGCAAACTACAGCAAAAGCACTTTCCACTTTTTATAGGGGGATTTCCTTATTTAATGTAAACTTTCTTTTGGTATTACTCACAATTCTGGGGAGGGCGGTTTTATTTAGTTAATAAATTAGTTGAGTCGAGATGAAATGATAGACTTTAACTAATGATTCACATATATCAAAGGAGTCAAAACATTGAAACTGGCTAACCATATGCAACTTGCAATGAACTTAGTTTTAGTATACCGCAATGGTTTGCTTAGTAAAATTGTGTCTAGAAATTTTTTACTATTATGGACGTCTTACCGGCGTTTTGAACTTTGAGGTCGATTTTAAAACGGGTCGAACGCTTGTCACCAAACGAGCTACAATATGTGCAGCCGGCTCGCATTTATTCATCTTCATCACACTCATTTATCTTCAGATAAATATACATGTTTTTGGCCGTAATTGGAAGTATATAAATTCCCTTCATAAATACGTGTTAATGGTTATATCGGGTATTCGGATGGTTTGCGTATTCCTGGCATTGGTCAATCGGTGGAGTCGACGTCGCAGCTTTATACGGCTCTTCAAAGAGTTCCGAAGTCTTTATCGCCACAATCCGGAAATAATACAGTTCTGTCGGAGAAGCATCATTAGCAAGTGCTTCTGTGTCATGATATTGGATGCCCTTTGTGTTATTGTCACTCTTCTTTTGGTGCAAAATCAACCAGACATTTCGGTGACTCTTTTCTTTTGGGCCATTTTTGGTCAGTCGGCTATTATAAATGTGATCATTTCACAGTATTTTATTGCAATGGCCAGTATTCGAGGGCGCTACGTGCTCTTGAATAGGGATCTAAAAGCCATTGTAGTCGAAACTCAATCGTTGATTCCAAACAGAGGTGGAGTTTTTGTGACCAGATGTTGCTGCCTCGCCGATCGCCTGGAGAAAATCGCCTGCGATCAATCTAATTTACGAAACCTCATCGAAGAATTGTCAAAAGCATACCAAGGTCAGGTCGCATGCATGGTCATTACCTACTCTTTAAATTCGGTGGGAATTTTGTACATGTTATTCAGTTGTAAAAAAAATGCGGACATATTAGATAACGTTTCATTAACCGTTATAGTTTTTGGTATTGCTAACGTAGTATTTTACCAACTCGATTGCTTTCTTAACTCGCAGAACGTATTTTATCTGCTCGACGCCAACGAAAATATGGGCGCACTGCTGAGTCAAAGGACGCTCTTTCAGCCAGGATTGGATAACAGGCTAGAGATGGAAGTAAGTGGCCAACAATCCTTACAAATAAAAAGCCCGTTTAGATGTTAAATCTCTTTGCAGTTTGAGACCTTTACTCTCAACTTGGCGAGAAATCCACTAAAGCTAGGATCTCTGGGCTTATTCAAAATAGATCGATTATCAGTATTTGTCTTAGGATGCTCCCTAATAACATACTCAATGCTATTAATGCAATATGATATTGAACACTTCTAAACTGTAGGAAGTGAATTCTATTATGAATAGTAAAATAATATACAATGCTTTAAAATTGTAATTATTCATGTGTACAATTAATTATGTACTAACACTATGACGAAGTGAGTTCTTTTCACAAATTACGGTTCTAAATAATTTGCGTTTTTCTGGCCTTAACGTCACAGAGTCCATCATTTATACGGCTGTTTAACTCATTCCGCTGTTTTTACAATACAGAGTTTAATCTTTTACCTATAATTTGTCGTAAAAAAATCGTTAAGAAAGCCAACAATGGCTTAGGTTCTAAAAATTTGTATGTTTCTAGTTTTTATGCAATCTTTATCAGCTATATAATTGTTTTACCCTAGATGAGTTTAACAGGAAATGACCGCAAGTGTAATTATTACGCAATAATAAATAATATTCATCTTTATGTTTATAAATAAATTGCATTCTTTATTCTGAACCTGGCTTCAAACCTTTTAAAGCTTCCATTTCTTTATAATGTGAATGCGGTTCAATACCATTCCCTATAGGCAAACTTATATTGATTAAATTATTATAAATGTCCGTACGTTACTGAGTTCGTAATTAGAATTAAGTACTGGAACAATGTTAACCCGTTCTACGACTTGCTTTTGGTGTCGTATAGTGAGCGTGTTAAACTTGTTACTATGTCAACCCGACATAGCTATGTAGATCTGATCCCTAATCATTTATGCCTATCCTCAGTAATAGCCCCATGCTATTAATCTTTATCATAGTCAGATTTCTACTCGAATACAATGCATCATATTACTCTACGACTAAATGTAAATGGTTAATATCCTCTAATACTCGTTAGTGGTAGAGTTAATTGGTATTCCTTGAAATTATGTAACAGGTAAAAGGGAGCTTTTCATTACCTAGAATGGTCGACGCACTCGAATGTAGCTTTCGTTCTTGTTTTCCAATGTAATCAATCATCGACTAATTAGCTTTTCCCCATTGGTCTAATCATATTGATTGAATTGCGTACGTGCTCATCACTGAGTTTGCACTTATTCCGATGCGAATTCAGTACATAAACATGGTTAACTCGGTGCAGGTGATTCTGCGCTTAGCGTATTGGTATGGTATTGCGGTGGGAGTAATGAACCTCGAAGTGGATTGGCCGACCGGAAAAGCTATGACCACCCGACGGATGACGATATTTTCAGCGGTGCATAATATAAATATAATCACCCTGCTTGCTATGCTAAGTCTTAGCGATAACAACTTGAAAACGACCTTAAGTAACGCTCGATTATTGCATGAGTACTTCTTCCTCCTAATCACGGTTGTGCGCAATTGGGCAGTGATGGTCTCTCTGGTCACTAGATGGGTTCAACGATGCAGAATCCTCAGATTGTGGAATCGAATAATTGAATTGGTTCGGGAAAGACCCGCTGTGGTTCTACAGTACCGCCGCCGGATTATTGTTAAATTTGTATTTTGTGTTTTATCCGACTCCATGCACACGATTTTGGAACTAAATGCTCAACGGAAAAATATCTCTTTTGGCTTGGTTGTAAACCTACTGATGGGGGCCCTATTTACCACCATTTTCAACATGATCGTGGTTCAATACTATATTGCCGTACTGCAAATTCTTGGACTTTATAGTGTGATTCACAAAGAATTGCGACTCTTAATTAGAGAAGCTGAAGCCACATGCTTAATTCACAACCGTCGCGGAGGAGTTTTTGCAACAAAATGCTGCTCCTTGGCAGATCAACTGGATAATTTGGCTGAGACACATTCTAAATTGCAGGACACACTTGGCGAAATGTCGCAGATATTTCAAATACAAAGCTTTAGCATGTGCGTGGTTTATTATCTCTCCACAATGGGCACCATATACTTTTCCTTCTGTTCGATTCTGTACAACACAACAGGATTCGGTTCTACAAATTGGGGACTTCTGCTGATTGCTTTGTCCACAATTTTCTTCTACGCGGATAATTGGATCACCATCAATATTGGATTCCATACTCGCGATCACCAAAATGAGGTAGTCAGTATATTGTCAGACCGCACTTTATTCAGCCAGGAATTGGATAAACGACTGGAGACAGCGGTGAGTTTATTTGGTTTTTAATTTATTTTCACTAATATTATTTTCTTTTCAGTTTGAGAACTTTCAATTGCAGTTGGCACGCGACCCTTTTGAGTTCTATGTTTTGGGACTATTTAAAGTAGAACGCGGTCGATTAATGGCCATGGCGAATTCAATTATAATTCATTCTATTCTTCTAGTTCAATGGGAGCTTAATCATAATTGAACTAATAATTGAAAACAAAAGTTGCATTACCATTATCAGATCATTATTATATCTAGAAAGTTATGTTAATGTTACCATAAAAATTTGGAATGGAGAACAAAACTGTTGAATAAATGTAGGAAAAAATCGAAATGACTTAAATAATTACTCAGAGGTTTTGGGGCCATAATTAGAAAAGCACAATGAAGAATGAAGCTTACATTTAGGATGCCATTCTGTGCCAACTAGAATATGGTTTAGACCATCAACAAACTACTGAGTGCCAAAGGCATGTGTATTGGGACGTAGAAAACCGATAATGGCCGTTTCATGCACTGCCAGAGGAATGCGGCAGTTGGTAATGGAAATTGCCTGGCCGGGATTCCTTTGTACTGCCAATTGCCAGGCATTTATAAACTTGGTCCTGTCTTGCTGCTGGAAAACTCCCGACGTCGTCGAGCGACAGTGACAAATCCAGCGACAGCATCAATACTTTGCCGCAATTCGAGCAATATAAACGAGCTTCCATTCAATTTGCCCCTCGCCATCAGTTCGCTTAGCATAAGTCGCAATTTAATCCCTCACCGACATCCAACAACAGGCCACGACATTGCACTGCCAGCATCCGGAGAATCGGAATCGGAATGGGAATCGGAATAGGAATCGGAGGAGCAGACAGGCAGACAGACAAACAAACGGATGGAACCGGAGACATTTTAGCATAATGCATTGCCACTGAGTTACGACTCCTCCTCGTCGTTATCCTGCGACACACAATCCGGCACTTGGTTCGAGAGGATGACTCCGATTGGTTGGGCTAACAATGCAACATTTTTTAACTTCAATGGGGATTATCGATTGTCTATGGATCACACAGCAATATTGCATTAACAGGAGTCCGCAGAAGGTTATCAAATAATAAAATAGGGATTCACTTGGCTATAAACTACACATCTCATTACAACAATAATGTACACATTTTATAAGTCATCCTTAATTAGTTGGACATTTATGTCCTGTTTGTCTTATGTCCCTGCAATTTGACATGCTTTTTCTCAAATCATTCTTTATACCTATTGATTTTTATAGATTTTCTTTACATGTCATTTCTATAGATTTCAAGTAAAGAGATTATCACTCAACCAAATAAATAGCACTAGTTAACATTGAACAAACTATCACTATAAATTCAATTCGAAACCCAATTATGTCGCACATGTAAGATCTTCAGAACTTATTAAAAGGCTAAAAAATATGTAGTACCTCTTTTTTAGACTCGCGCTGAAACTCAATTGCCAATGTGGCGGAACAAACAGTCCAATGGATTCGCTAGTTAAGCCGATTACTCAGGAACTTAGTTGTATGCAAAAGTTTTTCAAAAAGGTGAGGCACCAACAGATAGCCGAGCTTTACCATAAGGAGTCGGAGATGTATGAAGCTGAATTGAGAGCTTGGAATCCCACCATTTGGCACGAAGTAGGTTATCGATACTGCAAATGACTTATACTTCTAGGATATGCACTTTGGACTTTGTACTATAGAATCACAATATTTCAGATGGAATTTTCCAAACTATTTCTTTATATGGCAGGAAGAGTGGATTTTTTCCAAAACAGTTTTTATATATTTATATATTTTATATATTGTATATATTTTTGTAAAAAAAAAAACAGGGCATAAATAAACTTCATTGGTATATTTGGTAGAATAAATAAATGTTCTAATCTGCGGGCTGGACTTTTTCAAAGATTACTGCACCAATAGGAAAATAACTTTCTGTCGGCTGCCAGAAATCAGTATCCCAACACAATTTCTGCCGTACCATAACTTACTCGATATGCAAAGGAGCAAAACGGCGAGGGCTTCAGCAGAGAGCTTCAAAAATTCATAGGATATCCCACAGCAGCAGCCGCAATGCCACGAAAAAATGAGAATTAAATTGAATTTTCAAACGCCACGCACATAAATCCAAGTGCTAAGGCAAGCGAAAATGCAGCCGAAAAGGAAAAAAATTGTAGTTTACTTTTGCCGCAGGCCACAGCGGCAGCAAAATGTTGCTCAAACATATCATAAATATTTGATTTTCTTTCATTTTTACAAGGTCCCTGCGATTTTGACTCCGTCTGAGCGAATGTGTGTCTGGTTCGCAGAGAAAAAATTGATAAGTTTGCAATGATTTTGCCAGGAGATTGATATAATTTGCGCGCAATTTCTCAGCAATTGGCAAAATTTCGCGCACGTGATAGTGGCATTTCGGTTTGCCAAAGATTAAGTTAACAAAGCTAAATGCAATCTGAAAATCAACCCAGAAATCTCTCATTTTCTGCATAAATGTCAAATGGCTTTACCTGAAAATATTCATATATTAACAAATTAAAATCGCATTCCGTTCAATTTTAAACAAGTTCCCCGACTACGAAACTTTCCAATTAGTAAGTTTGTTCAAATTAATGCAGAAACCAAGCGGTTCAAATTGTTCCGATTAGAAAAGTTATACGGTCTTAACTTTGTTATGGAATACTTTAATTCTAGTCGGAAGTTTGCAAAGCAGCGAGAAAGAAGTTTTTAGATTCTCTGCATGAAAATTCCAAATATGTAGATATAAATAGTAAAATAAATCATATATCTATGAAAGACCGGAAAATGAAATGAATGGGTCATTTTATATGCAAATCTGCTTAAATCGTGAAAACTTTTTGTTTTTGAATAATTATTGTAGGATGCAGTAAATATTTAATTGTAAATTCGAGGTGAATAGAGACAATTATTATTATTTAATAATTAATAATAATTAATTAATTTCTCTTGTGATGGTGTCAAAAAAAACTAATAAGACAATGAGTCATCAATTTTCTATTCCTTTGCTTCTAAGATCCGATCATATTGTGCAAACGGCCTTGCTATTTTAAATAAACAAATCCTAAGTAAAGTTTTGAAACTTCATTTAATGGATCGGTTAATTAATTTATCTAAGACCCTAAGAAAAGTAGCAATATCGTTACTTTTCAACACCCATCGATAAAAGTTGGGAAGTATCGAAAAATGTTCGCAAAAGTGTTTGCTGCAACTATCATCTCCAAAATTTGTCTTTCCGCTTGTCATTCCTTTCCGGAGCAGACGTTCCAGTGATTTGAAAATTTTCTTATTTAACTTTTGGAAAACTCTTTCCAAGAAGGATGACCAAGGGAACTACTAGCTTTGGCAAGCGCCACAACAAGACGCACACAATCTGTCGTCGCTGCGGAGACTCGTCGTATCATCTCCAGAAATCGAAGTGCTCCCAATGTGGCTATCCCGCGGCCAAAACTCGCTCGTTCAACTGGTCCCGAAAGGCGAAGGGTCGCAAGGCTCAGGGAACCGGAAGGATGCGGCATCTGAAGAAGTTGCGCCGTCGTTTCCGCAATGGATTACGTGAAGGAAGTTCCGCGATGAAGAAATCTCACTAAATCTAGGAAAGGTCTTGGCTGATCCCAATAAAAACCCTAATGAAGGCCCGAATTCCGTAAAGTGTTCCCAAGTGTTTTAATTATGTTTTGAGGTTAGTTCAAAATTGGACATGAGACAGGTATTCTATGTGGCGACATATGATACATTTTAGTATTTTAAAATGTATGTTTCGTGTGTGTAGTGTGCATGGTGGGTGCTTTCGCATTTTGTGTTTGGTTCTTGGCTTGCGAGCCATGCATTTTATGAATTTTTTATGGCCTTTAATGTACACACACACCTGGCACCGCCTGCAAGTGTATGTGTGTGTGTTTAGAGAGGGACATAAAAAGAAGGAGACAGGCGAAGCAACACCTTTTTATATGCCCCAGCACATAAAGCTCGTGGCGGAAATCTGCTCACGCCCCAGGACAGTATTTCATCCCGACCTGGCCTAATCCGTCGCCATGTGGATTTTGGCCGCAGAATCCTGGCATGAAATATTCCCCGGGATTGCCGGTGAAAAAGTTTCCGCTTGATTTATCTCTCGGGCGCAGCGATGAAACTTAAAGACAGGAGCGTGCAACAATTGCTCACCGCCCACTCATTAATTTTTGGCCAGGTCCAACATCCGGCTGCTTGGTATACGGTATGTATAAGTATATGGATTCATTATTATGCAACGACTGAATTTTTAAAATAATGATGTCTGCCTTCACGCTGGAGATGGCGCTTTATTAATGCGACAGTAAAGTAATGCAGATCCCAAGTGCAGTTCGAGTAGATTGAGGAGATGGGAAAAATAGAGTTCATAACGGAAAAACAAATTTTCTTGTTAACTACAAGACATATTTTCAACGCAAGGAATTGTTTCTTAAGGTTAGTATTACTCAAAGAGTATTTATGGTGTATGAAATATAAAATAAATATTCAGAGACAGCTTTTTAAGTGTTTAAAACTAAATGTATTAAAATTAGAATTTCACATAAAAAATTCTCGGAAACTAATTGCAATACATTAAAGCTGTATACTAAAAAGTTTATCGTTACACATAAAAAAGTTCACTTAAAGCCGCCATAAAAAGGACCCAAAAGCGATTGACGATTTTTTCATAAATGTTGGTTGATTTGTGTTGTTTTGAAGGGGTATTTTTAGGGTATTTAGAATTTATTTCTAGTATTTTGAAAAATATGTATGAAAAAACTCAAAACAAAAATCACGAATAACTAAGGCACTTGTTTTAATAGTTCCCCTTAACTGAATTACATTTTTGTAATCAATCTATTTTATAGGCACACTTCCAAACATTTTAAAGGAGTCATTGCCAAGAAAGAAAGAAGGTCTCTTAGGTAACGAGTTTGCGATATTCGATGAAGATGCGCATTGGCACAATCACTTTCGCCTTTTTCTGTTTTCAATTTCCATTCCATTTCGTTTGCAAAGGCCGACCTCTCCGCCCATTTCCACCATTTTCCAGGATAAGGCATCGGAAGCTCTAATTGCATCTGATTGCAGTGACAGTTTTTCCTACCAACTGACAGCTACGGCGGCAACAAAAAGGAAGGGGAGAAGGAGTTATAGTATGGGTCTGAGTACTGAGTACTGAGTACCCGTACATCCGTTCCGTATCCGTTGATTTTCAATCCGCGTTATTTCTTCCTTGGCTGTTTGCTTCGCTGGTGCCCTGCTCACTCGCTGCACTGCTCATCCGGAGACAATCGTGAGCGAAATTTAAATGCTGCTGACTTTGCAGCTCACTGAATGCCAACTATACAGAAACTCGAAAAAATAATGAAGAAAGCAACAAACGCAGCAAAAAAATTCGATTGAAAATGTTCAATCAACAAAATGGCATTTCTGCCGAAGAAATAAAATCCATTTTGAATATATGGCACAGGTCTAGCAACAAAGTTTAAATTTAAATTAAAAACTTATCAAGGTACAATAATATATCAAAATGGTTTGCTTTTAATCTGCAATTTCAGACAGCTTAAATTTCGGTCTGTGTAAAGCTTTATTTTCTCCCATTCTTCAAAAACCTATATTGGCAAACTAAATACTTAAAAAAGGTTCCAGATTGTAAGCACTATACTCTAATTTCCCCTAAACAGATTTAATAAAACATAAGAAAAACTATGTATATATGATAGTAAGGCATCCCATTCATCTTAAAAATGATTTTAATGGTCCATTGGCAGAAAACCCCGATTTAAACTTGTATTATTAAAGTTTTTGCTTTATTTTATAAAAAAACAAGAAAGAAAGCTAACTTCGGGCGGAGCCGAAGTTGATATACCCTTGCAGAATATTCTGTAAATTATATTCTCCAAAATCGGATCGGTTATTCATATGATGCATTCTTAATACTCATAAAAAATCCCAACTTCCTAACTTAACAAACACCAAAGTTATGTCATTTCCAATCGTTCAGTTATATGGCAGCTATAGGATATAGTGGCCCGATCCGGCTCGTTCCGACTTATATACTACCTGCAATAGAAAGACAACTTTTGGGAAAGTTTCAAGCAGATAGCTTTAAAACTGAGGGACTAGTTTGCGTAGAAACGGACGGACGGACAGACGGACAGACGGAAGGACAGACGGACATGGCTAGATCGACTCTCCTGGTGATGCTGATCAAGAATATATATACTTTATAGGGTTGGAAATGTCTCCTTCACTGCGTTGCAAACTTTTGACTGAAATTATAATACCCTCTGCAAGGGTATAAAAACTTGGCAAATAATAATTTATGACAATTTGTAATTACAATTCCAAGCATTTTAACGATCAGAATAATTTTAACAAAAATGTAGCATCATCATTTTGTAAAATGGAAATTTTATTTAAATAAACTTGAAAACCCTAAATACATGTTGCAATAACTGGGTATAAATGAAAACTAATTTTGAGACCATGAAAATCACTCCTTCATCGATTTTAATTTCCCAAAAATTACAATCTAAAGGTATCTTTGATACATGAGGTATTCATTCTGTTACTCCAACAGGACCTGCTAAAATTATACTCCAACAAGTTGCTCCATAATGAACCTGTGCAATGGCAAAAAGCCAAATTTTCATAAAATTCATCGGACACAGAAAACTTTATATGAAGGAGCCGGAATTGTAATGACCTCATCAAGTTTCGCAAAACCACATTTTGTGGTATTTGTCGTGTTCTGCGGTTGGGATTTGTTGATGCTGTTACTGATGCTCTTGCGTGTCGACATGGCATGAAAAATTCCAATTCCCGTGAATCAATATGATATGGACCCAGGGGCTTTCAGGCAGCCATGGTGTTTGAAAAAACATGAATTAAAATTCATTAGGGTGTGGATAGTGGAATGATCGAGTATAGTAGGAGAAATAAAAATTGGCAATCCATACGCAAGACTCTAATCCCTTTCAATCTCTGCTGGATAAATATTAAATGGATGAGTTTAGACTCGAGACTCGACTTCGTTGCGACTCAGCAAAACTGAAATGTTTGGCATAAAAAATGCATAAATTATGCAAACCATTTGAGAGGCAAACAAGGAGGAAAAATCGAAAATGCCTCAACATTTTCGCTTCGGTCAAAGCTTTGACAAATTGATGCTGGCCAGCCGAAAAGTGCGACGACTGACTCAGCTCGCAGTGTGTGTGTGTGTGTCTAAATGGACATCTGGGCAGGAAGAAGGTCCAAAGCGAAAGGAGCAGAGGCGGAAAGTCTCTTAACGTGGCTTTTAAAACTGCTGCCACCCGTTTCGACCAGGCAACTGGGAAGTATAAAATATTCATGCGTTTTATATATGGAAAAGAAAGAGGCCGGTGGGTAAGTTACCAGGCCTATGTCACAATAAAAGTCAAGAAGCTTTTGCGTGCCGTAATTAATGTAAATCCCCCTTTTTTCCTATACCTTACCCCGTTAACAGGGCGAGTGCGTTGGTCTTGTAGGCCACTTTGCTTGTAAAATGGTTTATTATGTCTTATAAACATGCAACTAGTATTTAATTGATTAAATATTTAATATAACCAGTATTATAGTTTTAAAAATATGATTATAAACAATTAAATATATTCAAATTGTATCTAGCTCTGTCAATACAATTTGAATATATTTAATTGTTTAGAATCAAATTTTTAAGTTCTATAATACTGGTTATATAAAAGAGTGGGTTGTTTATATATATATACTTATTCCATCAAATTAAAAAATATTACAATACATAATAAAATTCGTTTTATTGTATTATGTTAAGCTAAATGTAAATTTGTATATGGGAGTCATAAGTATATTAAAGCTGTTTTAAACATACCACCATTTAAAATTTTATATTAGGTATTAAAGCAGTCTTAACCAATTTTATACACCTTTTTTTGACCTGTCCTATTGACAGCTGCAAGCCGCCAGAGGGCGCCTGTCAACCTTCCTCTATATGTATGCAGTGTATAATTGATTTTCTGTTTACGCACTGCCCCAAAATCGGGAGCAGATGGAAGTGGGCGTGGTCGGGCAGCTAAGTTGCCGAGCCTGATGCTTCCGTTTATTTCTTGTTATTATATTTCATTTGCCGTCAACTTTGTTGTGCTGCCTGATTCTTACACAACCCAACATCAAGTCAGACTTACAAAGATCTAAAACAAAGGTAAGGATCTTTAATACCTATTAAATTGTTTAACCAAGTTAAATTTCGTTTATTTTTGTATACCTCAACTTTTCAATTTTCAGTGAATTAAAAATAATGGAATTTCAAAATTACAATACGTAAAAGTAATATTCATCTGGATTCTAAAAATTTTAAGTTAATAAAGTATAAGCTAACTTTAAATTATAATATATGTCATACCCAAATTTAAAATTACTTATAAATTAAAATGTTTGTTATTATTGACTACTTAAAATATAATACAACAAGCTAAAATGTGTACACAGCATGTTGCACAAAACTGAGTTCAAAAACATTTTTAAACACTTTAAAAAACATTTTAATAGTGTCTTGGTTTTACGGAATCTTAATCACTTGTTCCATTCTAGTTTATCCTGATTTCCAGGGTTTCTAATGGGTATGCCCAAAGTTTCCAT